CTATTGAAGTGATCATATGATTTTTATCCCTTCCTTTATTAATGTGGTATATCACTGGTTTGCAGATATTGAACCATCCTTGAATCCCAAGGATTAAACCCTACTTGATCATGTGTATAATCCTTTTAATGTATTGTGATTTTAATTTGATAAGATTTTTGTTAAGGATTTTTGCATCTATATTCATCATGGTATTAGCCTATGATTTTCTTTTTCCTTTTTCTTTTCTTTTCTTTTTTTTGCTGTGAAGAAGGAAGGAAACCTTATTTAGTTCAAAACAGCTCCATTGTGATATAGCTGTGCTGGGGCCAGGCCTCCCTTGACCAGACAGCTCTGCCCTGCTCCCCTGCGGTCTGTTCTGCTCCGCACTAGTCTGCTCCGCTGTGCCCAGGTGCGCTCTGTCCTGTGCCGGCCTGCTCTGGCCTGCGCTGGTCTGCTCTGCTCTGCTCTGCTCTGGTGAGACGTTTTTGGTGTTTCAGCTCAGCCAGGGAACACACAGTCTTCGGTGGAAAGGGAAAGAAAGTGCATGTCTAGAATTTTCTTTTCCTGTAGTGTCCTATCTGGTTTTGGTCAGGGTAATGCTGGCCTTGTAAAACGAGTTTGGACGTGTTCCTTCCTTCTCCTTTTGGAAGAGTCTGAGGACTAGTGTACATTCTTCTGTAAATGTTTGGTAGAATTAATCAGTGAAGCCATCTGGTCCTGGACTTTTGTTTGTTGGGAGGTTTTGTTTACTGATTCTGTCTCTTTACTAGCATTGGTTTGTTCGATTTTGTTTCTTCATGATTCAGTCTTGGTAGGTTGTATGTTTCTAGAAATTTACCTACTTCTAGATTGTCCAGTTTTGCCACATTATTTTTTATAGTAGTTTCTTACAACCCTTTGTATTTCTGTGGTATCAATTGTAATGTCTCCTTTCACTTCTGATTTGAGTTTTCTCTTTCTATTTCTGGGTGAGTCTAGCTAATGGCTTGCCAATTTTGTTAATCTTAAAAAAAAAACTAGCTCTTTTTCTAGTTCCTTGAAGTGTAGAGTTAGGTTTGTTAAGGTGTTTTTTTAACTCATTGATTTCAGAGAGAGAGAGGGAGGAAGGGGTGAAGAGAGAGAGAGGTTGATTTGTTGTTCCACCCATTTGTGCATTCATTGGCTGACTCTCACATGTGCCATGACCAGGGATTGTACCTGCAACCTTGGCACATTGGGATGATGCTCTAACAAATCAAGCTACCTGGCCAGGGTGAGATATTCCCTTTTTTCTTCTTTCTTCTTTTTAATGTAGGTGTTTTATAGATGAGGCTATGGGCTTAAATCCATTTTTTTTTTCCTTTAAGGCCTATCCCCCACTAAAGAGCTAGAGTTCAAACTGAGATTTGTTGAAATTGAGGACTCCAAAGCTTGAGCTCCTTTTACTGAGCTGTCTTACTTCTGTATTGAAGATCTCCACATGTGAACTGACCTCTTGACTGAGGCGGATCATTCAACACGCCCATTCACTTTTGGTCCATTGTAACATGTCCACAGAACAGCTCTAGCTCGTGACAGTGCTGTTGCTAGACCTCACGGGCATTTAAAACTCTTTAATTCATTCAGTTGTTTATCAGTCAGCTGAGTGACCCCCCTGCCAGGCATCATGCTGGTGTTGGGGTATGCTGGAAAACGCACCAGCCATGTCTCTGACTTCATGATCTGTAGACTTTAATAGAAAAGTTAATATCAAATGTCATCAAGAATCAACTGCAATTGTTGAGTCAAAGAAGCAGGGAGATGGGAGCACAGACCGGGCTATTGCCATTTTGTGCCTTGGCGAGGTGTAGGCAGAGGGGCTCGCTTCACGGCCGAGGATGCAGACTCCCATTTAATCTCTGTTCTCAGTGCTGTACCTCATCCTGCCTCTTCACGGCCCAGGATCCCCACCTCACTGCCTCGTTGGTTCTCATTCTCCATAGAATAAGCCTGAGTGAACTGTGCATGTGAGGGCGAGACAGGGCATAGCTAACATGCAGAGTCAAGCTGGCCTGTGGAGACTAACTCCTCCTTCCATACAATCAGCTCCCACCCGGGATCTTCTGAACCCACCACGCCTTTCTGGAGCTCCTGAACAACGATGCATGTCCGCTCTCTCTTTCTCATCTTTGTGCTCGTCCAAGAGAGGATGAGGTGGCAGAAACTACTTCATCATCTCGAAACCAATGTCGAGTTATTTTTATGTCTGTCCCGACAGACTGTGACATACTTGAGGACAGGGGATTATCTTGGTATTTCTAGATGAGCAAAAAAATGCAGGGTACACGATAGATGCTCAGCAAATACTTTTTGAGCAACTAATATTTTACATTTGTGTAACTGTTTTGCATTCACCCTCATTCCCATTCATAAAGCCTCTACTGGGTCATCAAGGCAGGTGGTAGTATCCTGTTTTCAAAGACTGTAACTATTGTTAAACTTAGTATCTGTAACTAAAGTTGCTGGTTTCCCAGAGTTGTATTCCCATTAGTGACCATGAGGAAGCCCAGGACATGGGGTCTCCTTATGCCTAGCCCATTATTCCCCCCTGGAAACCTCCACCTTTGCCTCTAAGGAAAGGCACCTGCTGTGGCATCAGAAGCAAGTTAGGTGAAGACTCACTGGCAATAGGATGGTATTGTGATTCAAAAATGCCTTTGTCTGCCTGGTCGTACTATCTTTCTCCCAAATATATACAGAGACCTGATTTTATAAATATGAATTTCCCCTACAAAATATTTTGCTTTGGAAGCCACTTTTGGGACTTGGCCCAAGTGATATAACAGAGCTTTGGGTGAGAGTGTGGAGATGAGATGCAGTGGATTCAATACTGGGACTTATGACTTCCTCCTTATGTCTCAAACCCTAGAAACAACCCAGGACTATTTTCCTGTATAAAGCTGTTCATTAAGCAGAGCTCTGGGGGCATTAATGGCATTAGACTTCATTCACTTTTACAAAACCAAAAATAGCTAAAGGGAACAAGTCCTATCACATTGGGGAAAGAGAAGGTATTATGGGATAAGAGTAAGGACAGTGCACTTAGCAGATTCTCCTGCAAGAGCTGGTCTTGCCAAGAGTGGTTGGGACACATCCAGCCTAAAACCAGCTACTGGCGCACGGCTGCCTTCCTCCTCCCCTCCCTCTGTTCACGGCAGGGCCCCAAGACTGTCATTTACAGCCTGGTTTTTACTTTATGAAATCAAGTACACAAATATTTTAAGAAATATTATTTTGAAAGTGAGAAACCAATTTAAGACCTTATTTGACAGGCCCTAAAGAAATATTGCTGCTTCAGCTATTATGAAAATGGTGTGGCTCAGTTGATTGGGTATCATCCTGCAAACACAAAGGTTGTTGGTTTGATTCTGGGTCAGGGCACATGTCTGGGTTGTGGGTTCGGTCCCCAGTTGGGGTGCATGCAAGAGGCAACCAATCGATGTTTCCACATTTCTCTCCCTCTCTAGAATCAAAAAACAACAAAAATACGAGTAGATGGAAAGATCAAGACTGCACAGCTACAACAGGGGATTTCAGGTCCCAGGGCAACACGCCTGATGGCAGCGAATATATCTTCGGAGACTAATGGGAACGTGGCCCGTGACCACGAGAGTCCACAAACCCTTTGGGTGGTCTGCTCCACCCCTCACAGAATTACTCCTCCAAGGATTCTTTGTAACTGCCCTGTTCACATTTTTACCTGCTTTTCCCAGTACATTGGCCTCCTTCACAGGCACTGCCAGAGAAGTGACCACGTGGAATTGAGTGCTGCGAGGCCGGCACCTGCCTGTTTCCCGCTGTTCACCGGGAGCTCTGGGGCCGGGAGAGCAGGTGGAGTTGTAAATAGCTTTTGTTAATGCTTCACATCTAGGGAAAGGCACTGGTGGGAAGTGGGCAGAATGAGAGAAAATGAGGTTTTAACAAACTAAAGAGAATAATGAAATTATTTCTTTAGCATTATTCAGAAAATGGAGTTGTGTGTGTTATAGATGTGTGGGCATTCTGGGTTAAAAGAAAAAGCGTATCAAAAAGAGGAAAAATAACTGAAAATATACTGAAAGCTTCTTACAATTTTTTTTTTTTGTAAAATAGGTCCAAGTTTCAGTACGTTACAGGTGACAGTTACTGAAACAGTGAGTGAACCTCACTAAAGGGCAGGTGAGCGGCAGACTCCGAGGGCAGAGTCATAAGGGAGGCACTTTACTGCGGAGAAGGGAACCAGAGACACGCCAGGCACCTAGACTGAGCTTGTTTGGGGCACTTGTGTTGAATATCCATTTGTTAGTTTAGTTGTGCCCCATTATAACAAAGTGAAGAATGGTTATTCTGTTGAGAGTATTGTGTCCAGTTGCTGTGATGAGGGACAGATGATGTACGTGGAAGAGCTGACAGCACGGAACTCAGAAAAGGGAAAGAGCAGAGAAAGCTTCAGCGGCCACCCACACAAGGGTAAGAGAACCCTACTGCTGCGGACCACTCCCGGACAAAGGGAGATCCCAGAAGGGGGGTTTATGTTGTCTCTGTGGCACTGAGGAGAAATATGTGCAGAGCCATGATTTTGTATATCTTTGATTCCATATTTACCATGTAACTTTCAGAAAACGGATTCTCTGAATAAGTATTTGGAGCTTTCTATGTTAATGTAAGAAATTTTTTCTACTGAAAAATTTGGCATTTAAGTTTCTAAAAAGTAATGTAATTTTTGTTTCCTTCTGGAAAATCCTGGCTTCAAGATTACTTACATTTAAATTAAAATGAACTCAGGAGATCTAACAAGTAGATTCTTAGAGTTCTAAAAAAATGAGAGCTAAATTTTTCCTAGACAACTTTTGCTGCCTTTTTAAAAAAATCCTAAATAACACCAGTTAGGATAAAACCAGTTAAATTTACCTCATTAAAATTCAGAAAAGGGTAGAGCAGGAAGTAACCAATGTAGGCTTATAAAACAGATGAAGACAATACCATTTACAGAAAGGTAAAAATCACAATGCCACATTTCATATTTTATTCAATTTTATTATGCTTTCCATTATTAACTTTTAAAACAAAATGATTTCCAGTTTAAAAAACAATGCACGGACCACATAATTCCTTCTTCATTTTACAGTTATACAAATATTCTAAATACACATTTCGTGTTCAAGGTGATGGCAAATAAGATTAACTGTACAGTACGTAAGGAAAGAAAATATTTTGAGCATATTTAGAAGCAATAGAAATGTCTATACAAAACAAGCAAAAATGGAATAAAATTTTTTATTTTTAAAGTATTGCAACAGGCCCACAGGTTTGTAACAAAAATGTCTTTGCACAGTTCCTCACAATGCCCCATTAATAGCTAAAGCAAGACAGCGGTTTTAGAAAAGAATGTTTCAAAATGCTACACATGGTACTACTGTTTGCACAGTTTGATCAGAATAACAACTCTACTCTGAGTCAAGCAAAACCTAGAGGAAATATACCAAACAACTTGAAAATCATTTGTATAAAATTCATTGCACATTTTACTCAGTTGTTTGAAAAGTAAAAAAGTGTATTTACAAAATATTTTGCAGTCAAAATTATAAAGTGAGTGGGTGTCTCTAAGTAACACGTCTTGATACAGACAGTTCGAGGAAAACACACGAATGGTTTTTTTCAAAAGAGGCTTTCAGTGCTCCTTCCACGGGGAAGTAAGTATGGGCTACTCAAACGGATCTACAAGATGGCACACACACTGGAGCAAACCCCACACCTGCATCAGGAAACAAGGTTAAAAGGTGAAAGGATGAGGAATTTGTACATCATAAGAAGTGAGCTATTCAGAGATCAACAAATACAGTTTTAAATTCAGTTAGCATAAAAGTCTCCGTAGTCTTCAGATAATAGACAGACAATGAACACACTTGACTCGATGAAAGTTGAAAAAGCACCATGCACAACAGTTTAGTGGTAAACACTGAAAAAATAGCACCTGGGATTCTGTGATATTGAGAATTTAAAACTGGTCTAGTAATTGCCGGAGATATGGTGCCTTGGATAGTTCTCTGTTTACTCGGGAGAGTTTGAAAAGTACTGGGCAGTTCAGAGAAACACACGGGATATGTCGATCAAAGCAACCTGTACAGCTCCTGCATATCTGGAAGCAGAAGAGGAACACACAAAACGTCAGGAAAATTCCTCTGTATATGTGGTAAACAATAAACTCTCATAATCCCTCCCTTTGGACCTACCCTGGATTACTGGCAGACATCTGACATAATATATTACAGAACATTTCATTAATTTTCATCTCTTTGAAGCCTAGGTTATTCTAAGTTGAGGTATTTCTAAAGGGTGTTATTTCACAAAACAAAGAGCTCGAAATTCCCTAAGGATTCATTTCATTCTTGAGATCAACTTTCATTTATAATAGAATGCTATTATATTAAGATCTACATAATAAAGCACCCAATTACCAAAGACTGTCTTTTAAAAGAGCTATAAACACTTTTTCCAACTTACTTAGACTTAACTTTTAATATGCCAATCATAAAAAAGTTACCCTTAAAAGATTTTCTTATTTCAGAAGAAAAAATGTCAGTGTGAGAAAAATCGAAGGACGAGAATGGGAAAGTGGTAGTCCGACTGGTGCTTCTCACCCCTGGCTCTGCACGGGCTTAACCCCAGATCAATGGACAGAGCAGAGAACGAGATGGGGAGAGCACCTAAGAAGCTTTACTCCTTAGGGCTCCCAGGTGATTCTGATGCATAAGAAGATCTGATCTGAAGGAGAATAATGAACCATAAGGCAATTTTAAAAAGAGAGAAGTGCTGTTTCTTACATCATGATCAGGTTTTAATACGTAAAGCCTCAAGTCAAACAGTTAAAAAAATGATTCTAGAATGTGCGAAACATTGAAAAATTAAAAAGGATTCACAGTGAGGACCCCAAGGGTCAAGAAAATACAGACTGATTTTTTACCCGAATAGTGTATCCAACTGATTTTAAAAAAAGGAATGCTAAACAGCTACCACTCTAGCTATCATTTAAGAAGAATCAAATCTGCTCTAGTTAATTCTCTCATCTACCTCGAGGAGCTCCTGTTTTAGAGACGTCTCACAGGGCAAGACATTTTTGTTCTTTGCCCTAGTATCTTCTAGTCAACTGAAGGGCACGTTTTTCTGAGCACACCGGTTATTGTATCTAATATGATATTGCCACAAAGAAACTGCCGAAACTAAGCATGCTGTTCCACTGTGAAGCCCTTCACTAATTAGTCTCTGACAAAGAGACTCAATCGTTCCCAAGTACGGAATGTCTGTGCCGCAGCCCTATGTGCTGCAGCTCACGCAGGTGCCAGGACAAGCTGGTAAATATTTATGCACTCTCTGCACTCGTCTGGCAGATAAGCCCAGATGGAATTACTTGCCTCACTAAATTTAACTCAATGTTTATATTTAGTTCCTAGATCCTTTACTGGTGATTTAAACACTGAGCATTATACAGCTCAATTCAGCTTACATTTATACCTTTAAACACCACAACTTGGACACCTTTTAGCTCACAAGGAGGCAGACATTTAAAAAAATATCTGCTTTAATCTTTGTCGATTCTTTTTTGCTATCCTTTGGCTTTCTTATTTTTTTCAAGTTTTCAGTCAGATGCTTAAACTCATTTTCATTTTTTCATGTTTACTACTAAAAGTGTTTGAGATGATGAATATTTCTGAGATCTACTATAGCTGTCTACAATCTTCTATAATCATGTGAATTCTTAAAAGCCTAGTCTCCTCCGAGATGGTTTCTCTACCTGTTCACCACAGCTAAGTTTTCCTACTAAGAGTCTGTGGATCGATTCCTGGTAATATTAATTTTCTACCTGGACTCCTAGAATGGCAAACCTTCCAAGTTTACTAGCCATTCTCTAGGACAATGAGATTTTTATGAGAATGGTAAGTAGATATGGTAGATAAAGCAATTGGTACTTTTCTTTCTTTGAAAAATGCTATCATAAAAAATTGGATTCTAGGTTTTAATAAACACAATATACTAGTCCATAAAAACAAAAAAATTCTAAAATTAAGCTGTTTAAAATAGTTCAATTATACTTTGAGATTTTAATATGCTTATTAACTCAGAATCCGTATTCTATTTTCCACACCAGTTTTGTATCTAATACCTTGATTGTTGACTACATTTCCCTGAATAACCAGCTTGCGTGGGATTCTGGGTCTACTGAGCAAGGCTGTACCTTTAGAAGTTGCTCCTGCTTACGTTCCAACTCTCGAATTTCTTGGTTGAGGATGACGGCAACATGCTGAGGCTGGCTCCGACATTTACTACAGATGCCATGCTGAGTCAGGTCGTCACACACAGGACAGTGCAAGGCAGTGAAATATTGGGAAATAGTGCCTTTCCGCCCTTCTAGTTCACTTCTAGAGGAGCTGGTGGCTTTCTGGATCTACAAAAACATCAATTCAGAGATAATGCTGAGTCAGCTTCATAGCAAAGTGGCTATTTTCATGCTGACCGCAGGTTTACTAAGGCATCGTGTCATTCACGCAACAAATACTGAGTAGCTACTACGCGTCAGGCTGTTCCAGACAGTGGGGCTACAGAAATGAACCAAGTCCTTCCGTTCACAGAGATTACATTTTAATGATCATCAGATACTGCTTTTTTCTTCTGGAAAAAAACCCCCATCTCCTACAACTCAGTTGTTTTGGTTGAGGTGCACAGATGTATTAGGTCCTGCAGGGCAATGGGATCAGAGAGGACAATGGAAGAAATCCAGCCTGTGTAAGAATGCACAATGTGGGCCATGGCCACAAGACAAGCAGAAGGTTAAAAATAATTTGTTAGGCAGTAGAGTGCAAAACTCAAGCAGAAGTAAACCTGAAGCATTTCAAATATAACTGAATACATGTCACCTAAGCATTCTTCATTTGAAGTTAATACTGGTTTGAACCATCCGTCTTCTGGGTTTCTACACTGACATAACATTATCATATTACCATAATACCCTTGGTGTATTCTCCTGGTGTCTTACAAATCACTTTGCAGAAAAGTCATCAGGTCAGCTTGTTATAAATGCCAGCAGTTCAACATTCTTGCTGGGAATGGAAAGGAACGGAAACCGGGAATAGCTTTCCGGCCTGCACCAGACACAGCATCACAGATGTTCCCTAGCACAGCTTCTCTGAAGCACAACCCTCAACCTCAGTTTACTGAAGTTATTCTTTTCCTTGGGGCCATAAGTGCTTACTAAGAAAGTGAAAATAGCCTGGGTGTCAACTTGTATCAGTTTGCCTGAATACCACCAGCCTTTCACAGTCTGAGAGAACTGTAAATGACTGAGCAGATCTAATTCTAAACAGGAGATAGAAACGACTCCTCTCCTCACGTATCCCAGGTAATTACAGAGTCAGATCACTCCTTTAGGCTCCTAGTGAGTAAACTAAGATTGCCAAGAGTCCACACCACATGTTTTACTTTAGTAAAATGCTATTTTAACATTATTTCTTTAGTCTGGTTTCTTTAGGACTATGTCTAGTTACTACATTCTGTTCATTTATTCAATATCCATTTTGAAGGAATTTTCACTTCCTTTCACTTATTTTTTATTAACTGGTTTATTCTGAGACACTTTGTAGTTGAGTGTTTACCACTGAAACACTTGTGGGATTTATTTCAATATTCTATAATCTGGCCAATTGGAAATAAGCTGAGAAGGTTTTTGTAGAAAACTTAAGTTTCTTTTAGAAAACTGGAAGAGTATGGTACCTTTGCCAGTTTAGGGTAATAGAACATCTGCTTTGCCTCTCACGGCACATGAATAAAATATTTACTTCTACTGGAATTTTATGTGATTTCTCTCCTCAGTCATTGCACAGGTACTATTTAGCAGACTTACCCTTGGTAATTCATGATACCAGCTGAAGACATCAATACCAATAAGCGAGAAGACTCTTGCCAGGGGTGGGAGGATCTGCTTGGTGATATAGTAAGTGGCATTCAATCTCAGAGTCGTGTCCTGCAGGACTTCGACGGGGCGCCTCACCAGCTGGATAAGGGGCACTCCGGGGGGCCCATAAATGATCACATATGGCACTCGCTCCCCAACTCGAGGCTCAGAGCGCCGGTCATAAGTAAGCATTTTCCTGTTTAAATCCAAATAAAATATGCACTCAAAGACTGTCATGGAAGGCACCTTTCCAGAAAATAAAAGGAGAATTAAATGATGAAACCATGAGAAATCTACAAGGGGTACTCTGAGTTAGAACACAACTTTCTTGAGAACTATGTACTTCACTCAGTTGGCACCAAGTGGATATGCTGTAAGAATTTAAAACTTACTCTGTTGGACTTCTGGCCAAGATGGAGGCATAGGTAGACATGCTGTGCCTCCTTGCACAACCAAAAGAAGGACAACAACAAATTTAAAAACAAAAAACAATCAGAACTGACAGAAAATCGAACTTTATGGAAGTCTGACAACCAAGGAGTTGAAGAAGACACACTCATCCACACCGAGAGCAGGGGCAGAGACGGGTAGCCGAGTGGAGAGGACTCTCGGTGCTGCGAGGTGGTGGCTTGTGGACCGGGTGGTTCCACATTCCCGTGCAGATAAACAGGGAGGAACAACTGGGGAGCAAGACAGACCTCACAACCCAGGGTTCCAGCACGGGGAAATAAAACCTCAAACCTCTGACTGAAAACACCTGTGGGGGTTGAGGTGGCAGTGGAAGGAACTCCCAACCTCACAGGAGAGTTCGTTGGAGGGACCCACAGGGTCCCAGAATGTACACAAACCCACCCACATGGGAATCAGCACCAGAAGGGCCCACTTTGCTTGTGGGTAGTGGGGGAAGTGACTGAAATCTGGCAGAGAGCAGAGCAAGCACGATTGTTCCCTCTCGTACCCCTCCCCCACATACAGTGTCACAACGCAGAGATGTGGGTTGCCCTGCCCTGGTGAATACCTAGGGTTCCGCTCCTCACTATGTAACTATGTAACAGGCGAGTAAAGACAAAAAAAAAATGGCCCAAATGAAAGAATAGGCCAAAGCTCCAGAACAAATACAACCAAGTGACGAAGAGATAGCCAACCTATCAGATGCAGAGTTCAAAACACTGGTAATCAGGATGCTCACAGAATTGGTTGAGTATGGTTGCAAATTAGAGGAAAAAATGAAGGCTATGAAAAGTGAAATAAAGGAAAATGTACAGGGAACCAACAGTGAAGGGAAGGAAACTTGGACCCAAATTGATGGTTTGGACCATAAGGAAGAAAGAAACATTCAACTAGAACAGAATGAATAAACAAGAATTAAAAAAATGAGGAGAGGCTTAGGAACTTCTAGGACAACTTTAAAGGTTCCAATGTCTGAATCATAGGAATGCCAGAAGGAGAAGAGGAAGAGCAACAAGTGGAAAACTCATATGAACAAATAATGAAGGAGAACTTCCCCAATCTGGCAAAGGAAGTAGACTTCCAGGAAGTCCAGGAAGCTCAGAGAGTCCCAAAGAAACTGAACCCAAAGAGGAACACATCAAGGCACATCATAATTATATTATCCAAGATTAAAGATAAGGAGAGAATCTTAAAAGCAGCAAGAGAAAAGGAGATAGTTACCTACAAAGGAGTTCCCATAAGACTGTCAGCTGATTTCTCAAAAGAGAACTTACAGGCAAGAAGGGGCTGGAAAGAAGTATTCCAAATCATGAAAGGCAAGGACCTACATCCAAGATTACTCTCTCTAGCAAAGCTTTCATTTAGAATGGAAGGGCAGATAAAGTGCTTCCCAGAGAAGGTCAAGTTCAAGGAGTTCATCATCACCAAGCCCTTATTGTATGAAATGTTAAAGGGACTTATCTAAGAAAAAGAAGATAAAAAATATGAACAGTAAAACAACAAACTCAGTTATTAACCAAACCTAAAACAAAAACAAAAACAAACTAAGCAAACAGGAACAGAACCACAGAAATGGAGACCACATGGAGGGGTATCAACAGGGGAGTGGGAGGGGGAGAGAGGGGGAAAAGGTGCAGAGAATAAGTAGCATAAATGGTAGGTAGAAAACAGACAGAGGAAGGTTAAGAATAGTATAGGAAATGTGGAAGCCAAAGAACTTATATGTATGACCCATGGACATGAACTAAAGGGGGGGGAATGTGAGTGGGAGGGGGTGTGTAGGGCAGAGGGGAGTGAAGGGGGGAAAACGGGACAACTGCAATAGCATAATCAATAAAATGTATTTTTAAAAAACTTACTCTGTAACTCACTGCCACCTGGAAAACAATGAGTTGGCAGATTTCAACTAGCTAAAAATGTTTTCTATCCCCTAAGAATATGAACTAAAAATTATAAATCTAACAATGAAAGAGAAGAGAATGTGTAGCTGGTTAGGTGATCTGGCTCCAGAACGATACTGTGGTAAGTGCTCTGGTAGATCGATATTAAGGGTGACCCAGCGATTCTGATGTGAGAAACGACGATTCAGGCTCTGTGCTAGATTACAATTTCACTGACTTTAGTTACACAGAGGGAGCCCACAAGAGTTCCAAGTTCCTTCTTCCTTCTCAGAGCTTACCAAGTATGGGGGTCACCCATTCACCTTCAGTGAGGCTTTATGTGGGCAGGTGATGAAACAATCGTGTGTCTGTGCCGAGGGATTCGGTATCTTTGCATCTGTGCCAAACCACTCAGAATCCCAGGACTGCACTTGGTAAGTACTGACAGTTATAATACATCATTACCTTGTAAGTTCAAGGGCTGGCACACAAGCTCCAGGTTTATAAGAGGAACTTCCTCTGTATTCCTTGGCGAAGATGAAGTCTTGTATGCTGGCCTTTCCTTCTAGAAGCTTCATACACTGTCGCTGAACATACTGTTTAATTAAACTTATATCTCTTGTTTCAAATAGCAGCTTTAGAGAACGCTCAAGTATCTTAAAAAAAAAAAAGGATATGCTCATAAAGATAAAATATCCCCTAGCATATCATCATTATTGTTATATTTTCAATTATGTAACTACTGGATAACTTGATGTACTTAAACCTGCTATTTACAGTGACTGGGTAATCACATTATTAGAAATTGGAAAATATTTTGGAGACTTTATATAGTTTGCTATTCCTAAAAATAGAATATCACATAGTTTGAGGAAAATTGTATTGAAACGTCATGCAGATGAAACATTTGCTATGTGATGAGCAACAAGAAACCTTTAAATTTTCTTAAACAGGTGAAAGCACTCTAAGCCCAAGAAGCCGGATATGATTTCACGTATTATTGTTTGTTTACCCTGTTATAAAAAAAAAAAGCCTGATTCAGGAAGACAGAAAGAAGTTTAAATATCACTAAGCAGTGAAATAAAAATTAGTCTTTTGCCTCTTAATAGTGTCAATAAATATATACCAACTGTAACAGAACTTCTGTACTGTAAATATTTCTACTAGGAAATGACTGGCATACAGTAGATATATGTATGGATTGAAATTAAATTAGCTCCAGGTAAAAGTTCTGTATCTCATTCTGAGTACTGGAACCCAAACATATTTACAGAAGAAGTCTGCTAATTTAGCCTAGATACAATTCATCCCTGAGAGAAAGAATGCACTGGATGATATTTCTTCCAGAAACTAGTATTAAATATTATTTCAAATTCATAATACATGTATGACATCATATAATGACATACTGACATGAATAGTTCAATAGGCAATCATCTATTATGCTTTTAATACCTCTAATACTCAGAGTACTTTTATTTTTCGTTACAGGAAGAATCTAGGACCGAGTAACGAAAAATTAAATATAAAATACTGTGGTTAATATAGTACCATTGTTCAGAAATCTTCCTAACTGGTATTTGATAAGCCAGGTAAATAACATTTCAGTTAATTTAGGATGCATTATATTGCTTATGAAATATCTCTGTTATATTGCTTATGAAATATCTCTGTTGCTAGTTTCTCTTCTTTATCCTCTTCTTTATCCAAAAGCTCCCTAGCTTTAGGGTGTTGTCATATGATAATATATATTATCACCTCCAGGTGCCAGGTAGGTAATACTTATGAAGTTCACATTTTTTTTTAAGCAATTGTAAAAAAAGGTAAGGTGTAGGAAGAAATTAGAAATGAAGGACTAAAATCAAATTAAGTTGTTTCATTAGAAATGAATTCTCAAAAATCATTTAGTTCCTATTATGGTTATAGATAGTCACATAGGCTGTAGTTCCTCCGCCTAGGTATGTGCTTAAAGATTTTCACTAGGTTCTTTAGCCACTTATTTCTTAAAGATAAAAACAAGATAGACAAAACTTACCTTAGAAACAGCAGGGCAGGAATCTCTTCTGACTGTTTCTATTCCTTTTGCATCAAACACTGGGTCCTTCTGATCCAGTGCTTCATACATGTAACCCACATACCTCTTTTTTGTTTGTAAAACACAGGGCAAATACACCTGGGATGAAATTAACACAACATCTCTTAATAACCATTTTCCCTACCATGCGTATCTTTACTTTTGTCTCTTTTTCTCTCTTTCACCAAATGTCAATTATAGAAAAACTCTAAATATGGCTTAGGGACCAACGAATTCATGACTCCACACCTGGAGGTGTTAAATTAAAGACAATGAGTTGTCTTTAATTCTTTATCACTCCTCTACTTTTGCTCCTACCTCTACTGACACTGCTTTCTGAAAAGTCATCATCATATCTTTTTAAACAATTAAAAATTAAGCAATACCTACACATGTACTGAAAGTGGGTTTCTAGAAGACAGCTCACCATATTAAAAAGTTACAGAGAACACACAAAATGCAGTCCTGGTCCCCACCCCCTGCCTTCCCTGCCCTGGGGTTTCCTGTGCGTCCCCCCAGAGATATTCTGTGCAAACACGTGTCTGTGGACACATAATGGTAGCTTACGACACACATCATTTTGCACTTGGCTTATTTCACTTAATAAGCTATCTTGGAGAAAGTAGTACTCTGCTATGTGAGACTATCACAATTTATGTAGCCTGTTACCCACTGTGGGTCATTTAGGATGTTTGCAATCTTTTGAGATTATAAATAGTGCCCCAACAACCTTGGGTGGATTAATCCATCCACCCAAATTTGAAAATTTGTTGACGTGGACTTCCTAGATCAACGGGTGTGTGCCCTCCCCTTTTTTAAGTTACTAAATTGATCTCTTCCCCTGCCCCCAAACTTTACTGATAATCACATTAAGTGTACACGGCCCAAACATGCCAACAAAAAGGCAGAAATGATCAGACTGGATGTGATCAAATAGCGAGGCTCAACTATAAGCTATCTACTAGAAACCCACTTTCAATATAAGGACACGAGAAGGTTAAAAATAAAAAATGGAAAAATATACACATGCTAACATTAATCAAAACAAAGCTGGAGTGTCTATTTAATATCAGAAAAGTAGATTTCAAGACAATGACTATTATCAAAGATGAAGTGTATCAATTCACCAAAAAGATACATAATCCTGAATGTATATGCAATAAGAAAACTTCGAAGTGAATGTAATAGAAACTGACAGAACTAAAAGAAAAAGGCAAAACCATGATTATATTTGGAAATTTTAATACCTCTCTTTAAAAATTGACAGAAAATCAGTAAGAATATAGGAGGCTTTAACATTATCAATTAAGTGACCTTTATAGAACATTCAGAAAGCACATGACTATTCAAGGTTATTTGAAAATATTCACTAAGACTATTAACTGGACCAAATAACACATTTTGAATTTAAAAGCACTGAGATAATACAGATTATGTTCTTTGACCACAATGGAATTAAGTTAGAAATAATAAATTGATTTCTGGAATATCCTTAAATATTTGGAACTTAACACACTTTAAATAACCAATGGGTCTTATCATTGAAGTTAATAATGAAAACATGTGATACAAAAATTTGAGGCAAAAGTAGTATTTAGAGAGAAATTTATATTTGTAAATGCTTATATTAAAAAACATGTGTTTGGCCCTGACCAGTGTGGCTTGGTTGGGCATTGTTCTGCAAAGCGAAAGGTCACAGGGCACACGCCTGGGTTTCGCGTTTGATCCCTGGTGGGAGTGTGTATGAGAGGCAACAGACTGATGCTTCCCTCTCTCCCTCTCTTTCTCTCTCCCTTCCCCTCTCTCTAAAAATAAATAAAATCTTTAAAAACATATATTTGTCTGAAATCAATGATTAAGCTTCTAAATTAGGATGACAGGAAAAGCAAAGCAAAATAAACCCAAAGTACATATAAGGAGGTACGTATAAGAATGAAAATTAATGAAATAGTTCTTTAATAAGTTCAATAAATGGGTAAATCTCTAGTTGGAATGATCAAGAAAAAAAGAAGATTATGGATATCTAAAGTGGAAGGAAAGGATGTCACTAAGAATCATACTGATATCAAAATCGCAGTAATTATAAATAATTTATGCCTATAAACTTGTCAACCTAGAAGAAATGGACAAATTCCTTGATAACCACAAGGTATCAAAACTGACATAAGAAAACCTGAATAATTCAATATATATGAAAGACGTTTAATTTGTAATTAAGCATCCCCCAATAAAATGCCAGGCTCAGATGGCTTCACTGGTAAATTCCATCAACCATTTAAGAAAGAAATAATTACACTAATCTTACATACTTTCAGAAAACAGAAGAAGGAACACTCCCAACTCATTTAATAAGGCCAACTTTTTTTTGTCCTGAAAGCAAAACAATCCAAGACAAACAAAAACCTATAGACTAATATTCATCATGAACAAAAGCATCACAATTCTTAATAAATGTTTGTTTTGAGAAGTTTTTCAGTTTTTGCTTTTATGTTTATGTCTGTGATGCATTGCAGGTAAATTTTTATGTCTGGTGTTATTTTCTAAGCACACCATGCTCTTCACTTTGCCAGATGGGTTGGGTGTCCATAGCACCACACACACGCTTCTATAATAGCACACATTATCACTGTTTTCTAATTTTTCTCCCTTTCCCTGGCCCACCAATTAGAATGTTCACTCTTCATTCAGGGCAGATACCATCTCCAAGTCTTCTTTGAATCTCTTCAAGCATAATTCTTGCTTCAGAGTAGATACACACTAAACATTGGGAGTCATCTTCGAGTCTTTTCTTCATCTTTTCTTCCTTTTAATACCTTTTTATCCTAAATCAACCACTTCTAACTCCTACTCATCCTTCTTTTCCCAATGTCTCTTCAACTGTCCTTTATTTCCATCAGTTCATCTCACTAACTAGTTCGGGCTATGCAGGCTGCAAGATGCATCCTGCCCTGATTCTCCTCTCCCAGTCCCTCTCCTACCCTCATGTGAGGCCAGTCCTCCCCAAACAGCTCTGCCTACGTCATGCTCTTCTTTGGTAAACTTTCTTGAATGAAGTTTAAACACTCTGCCTTGGTATTCAAGGCTCTCTACAATCTGGTCTTTATTTTTCCAGATGTCTCTGCTGCTGCTCCATATTCTCACATTCGGCTTTTCCAACTCTTCATCCTTCTACACGCCATTTTTTTCTATGAGAAGGACTGCAGCCCATGGCTGCCCATTGAGATTCTAACCGTTTTACGAGACACAGTACAATATTACCTCTTACATGGAGTGTCCCCATCTACCCAGGAGGACAACACACCTTTTCTTTGTGCTCTTACAGTGCTTAAGGGGTCTGTTCTTATGAGACTTCTGTAAGTTTACAATAAAAGGGATCATTTATATACATTTCTAATCCTTCCTTTTAGATTACTGGCTCTTAGAAGGCAGGACTGTGTCTTAAGCTTCTTTGTATTCAATACCCCTCCTAGCTTACCATCTTTTATATAGAAAGCGCTAATCACCTATTTGGGGTCTACAGTAAAGTGACAGTAGTTGATGGTCTTTGTGGCAGACTGCATTTTCAAAGAAACAGTTATCTCCCTGCACCTGGTCTTTCTACAATGTGACTCTGACATCCTTCCCATTAAACCCGCATAGGCAATGATGCTGTGACCTTGCGGCTAGGTCACAAAAGGCAAAGCAGCTTTCCTCTGTTCCTCCTGGGGATGTTCATTCCTGTAACTGAGCCATTATGCTGTGGGGAAGAACAAGCAGCCCCGGGAAAGGCCACACGCAGGTGTTCCAGCCGACAGCCCCAGCAGATGTCCCAAACAGTAGTGAACATCAACACCAGATGAGCAGGAACAAGCTTCAGGTGACTTTGGTTCTTAGCTGTCAGCTGGGCCACCTCCAACCTTTAAGTTTTCTTATCTGAGAACATTGTGGAGTGGAGATTTTGCCAGCCCGACTGCCACTATTCTGAATTCCTGGGGTATGAAATCTGTAAGTAGGATGGTGGTTGTTTTACACCATTACACTTGGGGTGGTCTGCTACCCAGCAATAGTGCAGATAATTTCATAAACAACCTTTTCATTTCTTTACGTAAAGACATTACTTAAAAGATCTGAGCCCTGGCTGGTGTGACTTGGTTGGAGTATTGTCCCATAAACTGAAAGGTCGCGGATTTCATCCTGGTCAGGGCACATGCCTGGGTTGTGGGTTTGGTCCCTGGTTGGGGTGTGTGTGAGAGGCAACTGATCAATGATTCTCTCTCAAATCAATGTTTCGCTCCCTCTTTCTTTCCCTCCCTTCCTCCCTCACTAAAATCAATAAGCATGTCCTTGGATGAGGATAAAAAAATAGAATTAAAAGAAAAAGATTTGAGAAAATTATATAAAATTAAGAGAAAATATTTTAAATATAACACTTTAATAGACCTGTGTACTTTTATTGATTCTGAAAATATACTGAACAAATCAGAAATGTCTGGAAGCTATGTGAATTTTATATGTGATCATTACTAGTATTACATTTCTCTTACCTTTTCAAACTTCAGTTTCACTGGCTTTGGATTGGTGGCAGTTACAGCTTCAGCAATCTCCTGACCAATCTTAAAAGACTGCTCCTTAGTAGCTCCTTTCAGCAGCACAAACATACTAGAGGATTAAAAAGAGAGCAGAGTAATGAGGACATCATTATAAGGACAAAGTTTCACCGAGAGTAGCTTTCCTGGCTAACATTCTATCTAACACTAAAGAACCCTTCCCTGCCTTACTCTTTCTTATTAAGTTGTTTTTTAATCTAAGCCTTCTTGTTTTATCACACTTTCCTTGTGTGCATGGTATATCTTGTTACAGCTCTTTAAGACATCTAATACCACTAGTCTAGTTACACACAGACCAGCTCGATTATCACAGCTGCCGAGAAGGTCCTGGGTCATTCTGAGACGTTAATGGGTTTGTATGGAACATAATTAGGTCAATCATAGAGGAAGAGAAAAAGTGAGTATCAAGAAATGGACAATTTACTTGTGATGTAGGAGGAAATTTCCTTCTAAAACCACTCAACTTAAAAAAAGACACATTATTTTGTAACACATTTATTAACAAACAGTTAGAAAACACAAAGAAGATAAAAGATACTCCAAACCTTCTGTCGCTGTGTGCATCTGCAAATCTTTTCTCATTTGGGATCACAGATCATACTACAATATTTGGTAACTTTCTCCTTTCATTTAATAATATATTGTGAACATTTCTCATGTCACTTAGTTCTTTTACATTATTTTAACAGTTATACCATATTTTGATGTGTGCATTTAGTATTATTTAACAAAATTCTTATCACAGAAAATTCAGGTTATTAAAATTTTTTTGCTATTTCATATATAATAATGTGGCACACCTCTGTGACTTCAGAATAAATTCCTACCTGTATGTGTATTTTTTAAAAAAACATTTCTTGGTAAATGGTATACACTAAAAATATTTTTTTAAAGAGACTATCAAACTGAATTCCAGAAAGATTTCTGAAATACAATCCTACCAGACACAGATGCAGGTCAAGAGGAAAGAATTTCTATGGATAGAAATTTCTATGGATAGAAATTTCTTTTTATCCATATTAAAGAATTAATATGGATAAAAAGTTCCAATACAAAAACACTCCAAGTAACTTACAAACAAAAGTACTGGGTATTTTTCCTAATATAATCCAGTTAACTTTAAAATAGCAATTTTTATGTTTCAGTATATATCATAATCTGAGACCAACAGAAATAATGGCTAGCTCATTTAAGAAAGAATATAAAGTTGATCTTCATTTATAATTTTATTTTTTTGAAGATTTATTTATTTTTAGAGAAAAGGGAAAGGAAGGAGAAAGAGAGGGAGAAAAACAGTGAGGTGCAAGAGAAATCAATTGGTTACCTCTCACAACCCCCCAACCAGGGACTTGGCCTGCAACCCAGGCATGTGCCCTGACCTGGAACTGAACTGGTGACCCTTTGGTTCAGGGTCAGTGCTCAATCCACTGATCCAGACCACCCAGGGCATGCACTTATAATTTCAGTAGAAAGACATCACATAGTGGAAATGGACAATATCTTGAAACATTAAGATTTTTGTTTCTAGTCTTGGAGCCACATAAACCAATCTCCTATTTCTTAAAGTGTTTTTATACTGGAGTTTAGTGTCGCTTGGATGCCTTTTTTAGAATGCTCTTTCTCTGCCAATATTGGAGATAATACTTAGAGTCTGATATGAAAAGGTTAAGAAAAGGAGAATTTCTTCAATATTACTTAGGGTCTTTAAAATAACTGATCTCAAATCCGAATTAATTTCAACATTCACTACGGCAGAACAAACAGGCCTTAGATAGTTATTTATAGTATCTTCTGTTTAGGTCCATCTGATGCTCATTACACCAATACAGCCTTATTTTAAGAAACAGGCTATAGCCCTGGCTGGTGTGGCTCAGTACAAGGATTGTAGGAGGCGCAGGAGACCCAACCACAGATTGATGTTCATTTCCCTCTCTCCCTCCCTTCCCTTCCTTAAAAATAAATAAATAAAATCTTATAAAAAGAGGTTATAAAATTTCCTTTTGAAAAAATTATTTTTAACAACAGACTTTGGGGCCTAGTAAAACAGCTTTGGCAACTGTCCTTCAAAAATATTTAAATTCAGAGAGCTGCAGCTATATGAGTATGAGGAATTAGTCACATTAAATACTGTTTCTTTAAACAGGCTACACTCCTGTTTATACAGTTTTTTACACATTACTATCTAGAGTAGTAATGTGTAACCTAGAGAGATGCCATGGGAATCTTCACAGTTTTTGGCTCAGGACACTTATGTTTTCTCTCCCTTAAGATCCTATCTGGTAAATCAGGACATGTCCCAACTCTGACAATAAGAACCAGAAAGGACTTAGGTAGAACTCTATTTTAGGAAGGATTACTCTTAAGTCATTCCAAACACTGAAATGAATATCTGAAGAGATGCAAAAAGACAGCTACAAAGCTGAAAGTTCATTACCTGTCAGTATCACCATATACAACCCTGGCACCCCATTTCTTGGTATCATTCACCAGTTTAATGGCTCGTTCCAAGGTCTCTCTGGCTTTGTGAACAATACTATCACCAACCTGTTGGAACAAGCACATTGGAAATAATTTTTTACCATAGCTTAGTAAAATCAGTAGACTTTTAACATATAACAATTTTAATTATGAAAGATTTCTAAAAATAAACAAAGGGAAAATAACAAAAAAAAAAAACACCCCATAGTCATCAGTGTCACTATTCTTTCTACAAGTACTCAAGGAGAAAATGAGATGAAAAATTTAAAATAAAGAGCCAATCAACATGCAGACTTGCCTCTAAGTATAACATGAAGTGTAATGGATTACACTTTATACCAGGTACATAGGTACATTTGATTTCTGGGAGAATAAATCTTGTTATTCAGGGACCTTTTTTAAAAAACTGAGTTTAGAGAAAGGGAGAGAGGAAAAGAGGAAGAAACACTGACTTGCTGTTCCATCCATTTGTGCATTCATTGGTTGACTCTCGTATGTGCCCTGACCGGGATCAAACCCACAACCTTTGGCGTAGAGGATGATGCTCCGACCAACTGAGCCACTTGGCCAGGGCTCAAGGACTTTTTAACACATTGCGTATCACATAGAAATCTCTAAGACATACACCAGGGACCGCACGTTTTTGGGCAAACTGCATGTTATTTAAATCATCATAACTACAGATCATAATGCACTTTAGGTGTTGTTTTTCAATAATTATAACATTTTTATTTACAAAAACAATTAAACAACTAATTAAATAATTAAAGTTCCTAGTACTTTTTTAACGTATGGTACTGCATAAAACATTTTCCTCTATGAAGAGGGACCAAGCAAAATTTACATTAAGTATCTAGGTTCGCTCCTTTTTCCATGGGCGGCACAAACTCTGGAGGCTCTCCTAGGAAATTTTTTCTTTCCACTCGCTGGAATACACGTAGGTTCATGCTGCTTCATATCACCTGACAACTTTTTGGGTGGATCTTTACGAGGTGCTCTCCTTGCACCCCCAGGGGAAGGGCTGGACATATTTGTCTCTGGTTCCGGAGAGCCTTCATTATTGTCATCTGTTATCCAGTTTCTCGCTATATCGATAGGAGAGACTGGTGTAGAGGATGATGCTCCGACCAACTGAGCCACTTGAAGAGACTGTTCTTCATTTCCTCTTGGCCCTTGTTGATAGTTTCTATTTTCTTTTTCATGTTGATATCATTTGCAGTGAGCTCATTGAGCTTCCTGACGATCATTGCTTTGAACTCAGTATCTGATAGTTGAGTTGCCTCTATTTCATTTAGCATTCTTTCTGAGGCTTCCTCCTTTCCTTTCATTTGGGAATTGTTTCTTTGTCTTCCCATTGTTTGTGAGACTCTTCTGATAGCAGAAACTGTTTATACTTCATTTTTGCTTGTGGATTGAGGCTCGCGAAACACTAGAAAACTCGTGAGCAGTACGAAATGTGTTAATATGCCTTTGTAATCAATCAGGCAGGAAGTTCCTGTGTGTATGCATGACAGTGTGTATGTGTATCTTTCAAAATTTTGCTGGAATGTTGTACTTCTTTCAGTATCATTAAAGTTAATGCTGAACTGAAATCTCAGTGATTGGTTGTACCTAATTTTTAGATAACAGTGAAACAAAAAAAATGTATAATTATAGTGATGGAAAATATGTTACAAGTATTCAATTTAACTCAGGTAGGCAGATACATGCCTACCAAGGGTTCTCTCAGTGGTGAAGGCTGAGTTTTAACAGTGACTGTGGCATAAAGTGACACAGTGTAGCACTGCTTCTTCCTTTACTAAACTCATTAAAGCTAAGAGTTGGGGAAAATATCCTGTCAGCACAAATGGAGCACGCTTTCCAGAATATTAAATAAAAATTATGTACTTTTTCTTTCATGTTAAGAAGCAGGCAATAGTTATAATGATCCTTCCCCTTTTACTGTAAAATTAGAATTACCTGAACTAAATGTAGGATTAAATAGTATTTAAAGGACTGTTTAAAGTTGCTTTATAAATGAAATATTAAGTGTATGAACAAAGGAATAAACAGAAACAACTTGTAGCAGAAACTTAAAGGTCTCTGTTGAGACCTTTAGTGCACTGAAAGAACTTGAGAATTGTCACCTATAACCTAATACACTTAAAAAATCATGTTATGTGACTGAGATTCAAGTTGTAATAAAATGTTTAATCAGTCATCTGTTGCCACTTTCAAACAAGAAATACTTTAAAATGTATGATGACAAATAGATAGGTGAGCCGTCAAGTGTTAGAGTCAAATATGCTTTTGAGATACAAGCACATACTGATCCTAACTGTCTGCCTCCTGCTGCCTGCTCTGACCCACTGAAGTTACACTGGGAAGAGTCCGAACTCCCACAGCTGCCCCTGAAGACCATGCAGTGTGAAGGGTTCAGGGGCATGAGGGTGATGGGCAAGAAGAAAGGGAAAGAGAGAGAGTGGTGATTAAATTAAAACTGAATCTGATACTTTGTGCCATGGTTTCCAATTTGAAAATTATTACTCCAAGGCAAAGAGACTGTAATATAAAAAGAAGAAAATAATTGGTTTCACAATTTAGGCAATAGTTGGGATGCTGAAAAGCCATAATAAAAAATATTAAAAGTAAAAGTTCTCTGAAAAGAAATAAGAGTGTTGGTAAAGATGTAGAGAAAAGGGAACCCATGTGGCTATTCTGGATCTTCATGTAAACTTTAGAACCAATTTGTCGATGTCCACAAAACAATTTGCTGGCACTTCTGGCCAAGATGGAGGCATAGGCAGACACACTGTGCCTCCTCGCACAACCAAAAGAAGGACAACAACAATTTAAAAACAGAAACCAACCAGAACTGACAGAAAATCGAACTGTATGGAAGTCTGAAAACCAAGGAATTAAAGAAGACATTCTTCCAGACCAGTAGGAGGGGTGGAGTTGGGCAGCTTGTGGCCACACAGCAGCTGGCGGACTGTGGAAACGGGCATGGCACACGAGGCTGCCCCTGGCTGGCAGGGCAGAGGCTGGCGGAGCAGGTGGTCCCACATTCACATGCAGATAAACCAGGCAAAACTGGGGAGCGGGACGGACTGCACAACCTACGGTACCAGCACAGGGAAGTAAAGCCTCAAACCATTGATTGAAAATACCTGTGGGGGTTAAGGTGCCGGGAGAAACCCCCAGCCTCACAGGAGAGTTCGTTGGAGAGACCCACAGGGTCCTAGATGTACACAAACCCACCCACATGGGAATCAGCATCAGGAGGGCCCAATTTACTTGTGGGAAGTGGGGGAGGTGACTGAAATCTGGCAGAGAGTGGAGCAAGTGCCATTGTTCCTTCTCATACCCCTTCCCCACATACAGCGTCACAATACAGCAAGGTGGGTTACCCCACCCTGGTGAATACCTAAGGCTCCATCCCTCACTATGTAGCAGGTGTGTCAAGACAAAAAAAAAAGTCTCAAATAAAAGTACAAATCAAAGCTCTAGAAAAAATACAACTAAGTGACAAAGAGATAGCCAACCTATCAGATGTGCAGTTCAAAACACTGGTAATCAGGATGCTCACAGAATTGGTTGAATTTGGTCCCAAATTAGATGAAAAAATGAAGGCTATGCTAAGTGAAATAAAGGAAAATGTACAGGGAATCAATAGTGAAGGGAAGGAAATTGGGACTCACATCAATGGTGCGGACCAGAAGGAAGGAAGAAACACCCAATCAGAAAAGAATGAAGAAACAAGAATTCAGAAAAAATGAGGAGAGGCTTAGGAACCTCCAGGACATCTTGAAATGTCCAGACATCTGAATTAGAGGGATACCAGAAGGAGAAGAGGAAGAGCAACAAGTGGAAAAGTTATTTAAACAAATAATAAAGGAGAACTTCCCCAATCTGGCAAAGGAAATAGACTTCCAGGAAGTCCAGGAAGCTCAGAGAGTTGCAAAGAAGTTGGACCCAAGGAGGAACACACCAAGGTACATCATAATTACATTACCCAAGATTAAAGATAAGGCAAGAATCCTAGAAGCAACAAGAGAAAAGGAAACAGTTACCTACAAAGGAGTTCCCATAAGACTGTCAATTGATTTCTCAAAAGAGACCTTGCAGGCAAGAAGGGGCTGGAAAGAAGTATTCCAAATCATGAAAGGCAAGGACCTACATCCAAGATTGCTCTATCCAGCAAAGTTATCATTTAGAATGGAAGGGCAGATAAAGTACTTCCCAGATAAGGTCAAGTTCAGGGAGTTCATTATCACCAAGCCCTTATTATATGAAATGTTAAAGGGATTTATCTAACAAAAAGAAGATTAAAAATATGTACAGTAAAATGACAGCAAACTCACAATTATTAACAACCATACCTAAAACAAAAACAAAACAAACTAAGCAAACAACTAGAACAGGAACAGAACCACAAAAATGGAGACCACATGAAGGGGTATCAACAGGGGAGTGGGAGGAGGAGAGAGGGGGAAAAGGTACAGAGAATAAGTAGCATAGATGTTAGGTAGAAAATAGATAAGGGGAGGGTAAGAATAGTATAGGAAATGTAGAAGCCAAAGAACTTATATGTATGATCCATGGACATGAACTAAAGTGGGAGAATGTGGGTGGGAGGGGGTGTGCAGGGTGGAGGGGAGTGAAGGGTGGGAAATGGAACAACTGTAATAGCATAATCAATAAAATATATTTAAAAAATCATTTTCTGGGAATTTGACTGGATTTGCATTTAATCTTTAGATCAATTTGGAATGAATTGATGTCTTGACAATACTGCGTCTTCTTATCCATGAACATAGAATATCTTTCCATTTATTTAGTTCTTTGATTTCTTTCATTAGAGTTTCAGTTTTCCTCCTATAGATCTTGTACATATTCTGATAGAATAAAAGATGGCTACTAACTGGAACGTAGAATATACAGGGTGGATACACTGGAAAAAGGGATGATTCACTGATTCATATACCAGGTGTGTGTTTGTGTGGGGGTGGGACAGAGTGAGATTTTATCACACTACTCAGAATGGTGTGCAGCCTTAAACCTTACTTGTTTTTTTCTGAAATTTTCCATTTAATATTGCAAACTGTGGTTGATGCAGGGTTAACTGAAACTGTGTAAACTGTGGATGGGGTAGGTCACTACTAACTTGTGTCCTGCAACCCTGCTACAACTGCTCATTAGTTCCAGGATTATTTTGGTCAGTTCTTTTGGATTTTCTACACAGAGGATTATGTCTCTTTTATGTGTAAGCAAAGACAGTTTTATCTCTTTCCTCTTTATCTATATACCTGGTGTTTCCTTTACCTGTCTCACTGCATTAGCTAGGACTTCCAGTGTGATGCTGAAAAGCAGTGGTGGGAGGGACGTCCAGCCTTGTTCCTGATTTTAGTGGGAAAACTTCAAGGTTCTCACAAAGTGTGATGTTAGGTTTTTTGGTAAATGTTCTTTATCAAGCTGAGGAAGCTCCCTTCTATTCCTAGTTTACTCTGAGTTTTTATTATGAATGGGTATTGGATTTTGTCAAATGCTTTTTCTACGTCTACTGATATGATCATGTGATTTTTTTCTTATTTAGCCTGTATGTGAAGTGATGGATCCTGCTAACTGATTTTTGAATGTTAAATTAGCCTTGCATACCTGACCTAAATCCCACTTGGTTGTGGTGCATAACTTTCTATACATTGTTGGGTTCGATATGCTAATGTCTGTTGAAGATTTTTGCATATATGTTCATAAGAGATATTGGTGTCAAGTTTTTTTTCCCCTTGTAATGTCTTTGTCTGGTTTTGGTATTAGGGTGATGCTGGGCTCCAAGAATGAGTTCTCTCTGGATGTACCTTTTGAAAGAGATTGTATAGAGCTGGTATAATTTCTTCCTCTCTTCTCTGATGGATCTAAGAAGAGGTGTTCAGATTGTTCAGCTTTTTACCTGTTGTGAGGATAGAGTGGTGACATCAAGCTTCTTACATGCTGGACCTTAAACTGAAGTCCCTTGCACAGGATTTTGGAGTTCACTTTGCCTACTATGAGATATGTGGGGACTTGATTCTTCCACTGCTTTCCCTTACTGCACTATTACAACTATGGTAGACCACAACGTTCTGGCCTTCATTTGTTAATTATTTGTTAAAAAAGTCATTAACAAAACAAGTTTACACTATGCCTTTCTCAATTACTAGTAAATTATTATATCACTCTGTTACACTATATTGTGTTTATGTCAGATTCACATCCCACTTTATTAAATACTAAGAAATTAGTCTTATTCTATGAAAAGTATCTTTCAATTGTAACTACCACTACAAGAGAAGGTTCTGCTTTGTATCTACTGGTACATGAATAAATATGCAATGACTATTCATTCTGGCGGCAACCTAACTACCATCCGATCTCTATCAATGCATGAAAAGGAATTACTGAGTACCAAGGTTGTTGTAAATATTGCTCTCAATTTGGTTCTGGAATCTCATGCTAATAGTTGGTTACAATACAGCCATCCAGATAATGTAGAAATATGTGTATGCTAGTTTCTAAAATTATCAAAGACACAAAAGTTCACACAGAGAAAACCCACAAATCTCTAAGAGTATGTGAATATACAAGCTCCGGTTTGAGAAAAACTGATCCTATGTCATGGACATGAAACCCCTTACTCTAAAGTTTCAAAACAAAACTAACGCTTTAATGAACAGGTTTTCATTTAATGCTACTTCAGTTTCTTTTGAAAACAAAACAAAACAAAACCAAACTACAGAACTGTACTGCTTACCTCAATGCATGGCATTCTCCCAGAAAAATTAGCAGCTGTGTAGCCAAATGTGACATTTGCAATAAGCTTAAGTCCTAGCTGACGTGCATCGAGCATTCGTGAGAGGGCTCTGTCTTGCTTGTAAGCCTTCATTGACTGCTTCACCATGAGTCTAGTCTTCAAAATTTCTTCGAGCATTCTTGGTAGCACACCCTTTCTTACTGAAGGCTATCATAAAGAAAAAAAGAATGTTTCAAATCCCTCAAACATTACAATTAGATAATTAAGAAGGAAGCACTAAGTATAACAATGGCCAACCGTCATGAATTGAAACATACTAACAATAAAGTGGCCACAAGATTAATGGCAGTTAATATAAAATCACATTTTCTTTCTTTTGCAGAGGACTTTTTCCCTAAGTTTCCTGTAATGTTTATAAATCTAGTGAATTACTATTTTGTGAGTTCAAAGACCTCCAGGAAGGAGGATGTCAACTAGTGCATAAGAAGAGACCATACAACAAGTTCAGAGGGAAATTTTGTTAGAAACTTTGATCCAAACCCCCACTCTTTCAGAAAGACACACGGGATTTGTCTCACTCATAACAAACCTCAGTTTTAAAGATCTCATCCTACGACCCCAGTAATCTGCATGGAACTCCATTTATCTACCTTGGAAGAATGATGAGCTGGGTTGACTCTGCTGACATTCAAACCTGCAGTTCCAGGGACTCTAGGTATTTCAAATCTGATGCTTAGACCACTAAGCCATCCCCTCCGGCCTATATTTATTAGCAATCTGGAAGAGGGGATGAATAGTGAAGTGATAAAATTTGTAGATGCCAAAAAAGAATCATTTGTATTAATCAAGACTAGGGAGAATTTATGAGAACTCCAGTAGGAATGAAAACCACAAAACAGTATTAACTTTGAAGATGATTCACAGACACGTGCAAGGTAATAATGCATGTTGGACTGAACAATTAAAACCTCTGATACAGGAAAATCACACTCCTGAATATTTAAAAAAAATCTTATTTTCATTAAGCTTTACACTTGGGTCAGAATGTAGATGCAGGCTTTAAAAATGCTGTTAAAGGGAGATGATGTAATAAGCTGCTAGATATGTGACAATGAAGACATAATCTAACCTCTAATTCATTCTGTGTACCTTTTAAAGAAGCCATAATATTTATGTTAGGACATAATATACATGATAATTTGAAGATGTAATATTTCCCCCAAAGGACTATTATCTGGTAAAAATTTTCCTCTTATGTAAATGGCTGATTTTAGGGTGCTCTTCAAACATAGCATCTTCTTACTGGTGAGTAAGGATGCTGCTTTTGCTAAGTACAACAGAATGAATCTGAGGGCAAGTGAGGTCCATGCTACCATCAACCACCCTACTGTCCCATGATTCTAGTACAGACCCACTCCTAAGGACACTGAAAGAAGAGGCAATATAATATTCTCCTAGATCCCTCCTATTTGTCTTTAATTTATTCATTTATGGGGCTTTCCTCAGTCTCTTTCAAGGGGAGATAAGGGAGAAAAAAAAAGAGACCCTATTATTAGTCTGGATATCTTTATAGAAATACAATCAATAAACAAGAGCATCATTCTTTCTAAGATAGTATTAATGTAACTTAAAATAATTTGGAAGAACAATTAGTTGAGTTTACACATTAAAGCACTTTAAACATTTATAAGTTAACAAAACTGTGATCATAAAATATCCATTTTAAGTCTGCCAGGTTCTAACAGAGGGCAGAAAGTATATGTGTACATTTCTTCTAGTATTTCACTGAGAACTAAAATCTAACAAAAGAATTTAAACCTAAATTCACAAAAAGATGACTTTTTAAATAATGATTTCTTAGAAGATCCTATTTCTTTGACTTTTTGAGATAAGCTATTCAAGCAAACTTATTTATTTTTTTTCCTGTATTATAGGCCAAGAACATCTAAACCATTAACTCTCCAAAGGTTAAGCCACAGTAGATACCTTTCATTTATAAGAGACTATTACCTTGACAAAAGCTATTCCATTGGGGGACACTGTGATGTCATGCCTAATCTGGTAAAGTAAATCTGGAGGTACTCTTAGAGAGGAGCAGCCAAATTTAAATTCATCATACCTGTTAAGAAAGAAAACATTAAGCAAAAACTTTCTCCAATCACAGAATAGAAATTCTAAGCAATTTTAGGAATCTTTCCAATTCCATTAGGAATTCATTTTCAAACATCTAAACATGAATTCATGTACTTAGTAATAAGTTTATTTGTCTAATTATAAAAAATTAGTTCTTCAAATATTCACATTTTAAACTCATTCAAAGATATGTCTATTGATTTTAGAGAGAGGAAGGGAAAGAGAAATACTGATCGGCTGCCTCCTGTGTGCACTCTGACCAGGAGCCGAACTCACAACTTTCTGGTGGACAGGACAATGGTCCAAACAACTGAGTTACCTGGCCAGTGCCAAATATTCAAAATTTGTTAAAAGAAATATGTCTTAAATGGCACTATCCTAAAATGCATGGATAACATCTATACTGAAATACTGAATTTCAACTCAACACATGATTACCTTACACTAAGTTTCTTAAAGAAAAATTTAAGCCTTAAATAAAAAGACTGTAAATAACTTTCCAAATTTCTGTTCTTAATAAAAAGACAGTATTACTAATACAATTTCCACAAATGCTTTCTAAGAAGGAGTATACTCTAGATGAAACAGTAACACTTGGTTTAAATATATAAAAATCATTATTAAGGAAGACTCTGTTTCTTATGAGAAAGATATCTACTCCTTTGAGTTAAAAATGTTATTCTCACTCAGCTTATAAAATTTGTTGACACGAACAGCTAAAACATTTAATGATGTAAGTTAAAAAAAACTATTGCTAAGGAAAGTCAAGAGAAGTTGACAGTTGGAGTTGTAAGATCATAATTCTCAAGCTATTCCACTGAAAGGTAGTTTATATCTATGAATTAAATATAACTCTCATTTAATGAACTATAGAAATGATCCCTGGAAATATAGTTTTATAACTCCCATTTAAAAAGAGACCACAGGTATACATGTGCAACAGATAGTGCAAGGTTGAGGTATTCAGTGTTCTCCCCATGTCTCATCCGTTTGTGAGGCTGAGGCATATGGTGATCTCGGTCTATTAGTAAGGTGCTGTATTTTGCCACATATAATGCATCCTTTTTTGCCCAAATTTTTGAGGGTAAAATAAGGATGCATATTATTATATGTGGGCAGTACTAATTCTGTATCTATATGAATATTTTTAATTATTTTATTTATGCTGATGCATTAAAAATGTAGTCTAGAAAGCAATAATGATATCCATATGCAATATAATACCCTGGAATATAAAAATTGATTTTGGGTCTAAATATACATAAATAAAATTGAATTAAAAATTAAAATGAAGCCCTGGCTGGCATAGCTCAGTGGATTGAGCACGGGCTGGGAACCAAAGTGTCCCAGGTTCGATTCCCAGCCAGGGTACATTCCTGGGTTGCAGGCCATAACCCCCAGCAACCGCACATTGATGTTTCTCTCTCTCTATCTCCCTCCCTTCCCTCTCTAAAAAATAAATAAAATATTAAAAAAAAATTAAAATGAAAGACTTTCTCCCTGAAAGTCTGGGCCAAAAACATGGGTACACAGTATACATGGGGGCACATTATACAAGGCAAAATACGGTAACTTAAAATAGCAAGTTAGCTAGGCTACATCCCATTCATTTATTTTCCTCATAAGGACAGTCTCAATTGCAAAAAGAAACTGAAAAAAAGTGCAGTTTAGTAAGAAGCACAAAGCACAACATAATTGTAAATATGCAAAAACACTTACTTTCCCAAGTTCTCCACATGGCCAAGGCAGGTGGAAAAACAGTAGTTGTACGCAATCACAATAGAAGGGTATAGTGACTGGAAATCCAAAACAAGAACTGAGTTGCTATAGAAGCGAGATTCAGGCTCCATAATGAGCGGGACACACTGTGGGGCTCTCATTTGGGACCTCTGCTGTACACTCGGTGTCACAGGAATATAGTTCATTGGTTTAGCAATACGCAACATCATTGATTCCACACGGTACTGTGGGCAGAGAGGCGAAGGGAGGCAGAGAAGAAGAAAACAGGTTATAAATATGCTGGTCTTTTTAATATGTGATAATCATCATGTTTTGCTCTTCAGAATAAGGCTGCATGACTTTCTTACAACACAATTACATATACAATTACATAGTATTGGTTATTTAGCCAGCTTTTAGGTGCCAGAGGGGACATTCATATTCCTAAAGTTTTTATAAAAATTGTAAAATATGTCAAAGGCTTACATCATAGGCAATACTGAAAAGACAGATACAGTTAGACTTCTTTTTATATTTAAATACAGCTCTACCACAATTAACAGATGTAAGAGAGAGAGCCGCACAGTTTGTCAATTTATTTTAAAAAGCTGGCCAATCTTTGAGAAATTGAATTGGGAAAATTTGAGAATGAAACTCAGGAGACTTGAGATGGTAAATTTTATCCCAATTTTTCAAGAAGGAAAGACAAGGACTCCAGAATTAAAAGGTATTTTCTAGCTTTTATTCACTGAATCAAGCAATTGACTGTTTATAAACAACCATTATTAAGCATATGGTTTGGAATATTATATAAAAACAGCACTTGCAAAAATCAGCATGGATTCTGTGAAATTTTCTCATGTGGTTTTAAAATATCCAACTTTTTAAAAATTATAAGCTGGCTCAGTTTTTAAAACTTGTGTGGGTATAAATGAATGAATAAAATAGCTTATAAGCAATAAAATTAAGTAAACCAACAGGTAATGCTAGAGTAGTTAGAGCTCTATTTTTGCTATAATTACTGAACTCATAGATTGGGGGAACATTAGAGTCTACAGAGTATACCTTACTCTATAAGGTATATAGAGCAATTATAATAATTAAAAGATTTCAGCCCTGGCTGGTGTAGCTCAGTGGATTGAGCACGGGCTGTGAACCAAAGTGTCGCAGGTTCAATTCCCAGTCAGGACACATGCCTGGGTTGCAGGCCATGACCCTCAGCAACCGCACATTGATATGTGTGTGTGTGTGTGTGTGTGTGTGTGTGTGTGTGTGTGTCTCTCTCTCTCTCAAAATAAATAAATAAATAAATAAAATCTTAAACAAACAAAAAAAAAGATTTCATGAGGTTAAGGAACCTGAGTGATTTAGTGTAGCCTCCCTGAGGCCTAGCACAACGTTTAATATGTTAAAGGCATTCAAATAATTCTTTGTTGAATGAATGCATGAAATCATTTGTCAAGGCATGTGACAAAAGCATTATATCCTTGAGAATTAAGTTAGATATGAATTAAATGGCTTATAAGGTATCATTTTCTTTAATATTTAAAAAAAATGGTAAGTGTCTACTTGTATTGATTTCCAAATCCTTCTATTTAAAAAAAAACATTAAAGTTATCTGCTGGGAGTTGGAACAAGCCAAAATTAGGGATGTAAAAGAAAAGAGACACAGGCTTTCTCTGCTGCTTCCTCAGTTCTAAGGGGGCACTGAAGGCATCCTGAATCACACAGACAATATTCAGGAACATAGTATCATCCTCAAGGGTGTAGCCATTTATTTTCTTGATACCATGAAATATTTAACAGTGACTAGAGAGCTGGTATTGAGAAAAAAAGTGCAGCTGTTAAGCAAAATTAAAGCTTTTCCAGAAAATAACAAGATTTGAGCAACCAGCTACATATATTAGTTGGTACCAGACAGAAATTTCAAAATTACAAAATCACTTCAAACATCTCAGAAGTATACCACTCACACAGAACTTTAAAGCGTGCAAAACAAACAAAAAGCCAACCAACCAAACAACAAAAAAATAGATTTCCTACCTGAGAACCCCTTGTCAGTACATGTAAAAACTGAATGCCAAAAAGTCTAGCCATTTCACTGGTTTTTCCAATTAGGTCCACCTGTTCCAGCATTTGGAGATTTCCACGGACACGGCTGATGTAATGATCAACCATTTTCCATCTGTTAAAAGACAATCCATGCTGTGAACCTCAGGGAAAAATTGGGACACTTAGTACTGTTTTCATTGTGCCAAAACGTGCACATTAATAGTGAGGTTATTTAAGGAGTAATGATGTACATTAAGGTATATTAAGGAGTTAAACATTAGAAAACTTCACATATTTTAAAGGTATGAAACTTAGTGAAAATATGTAAAGTTTGAGGTAGTACTTTTGATAAGGTGGTAAGACTAAGGATAATTATTTTCAATATTTTTCTTGGTGTTACTTTTTGTTATAAAAAATTATAATCTCCTCCTAGATGCCACTGCTAATGATGCAGCAGTGATTATACAATGACAACTCATCATATCTGTAGGATTGAGAACATGGAAGCTTTAGATTATCATTGTAAGAACTATTCTAAAATATTGGGTTGGCCAAAAAGTCCATTTAGTTTTTTCCATAAAATAAAAGACTAATTTTTCATTTTCACCAATAACTTTACTGATTTGGACATTTTGAGTATGTCGCCTGTCTCCCATGTGGTATAACATTGACTGTTTTCAACTGTCTTGTGTTGACAGTTATCAACTTCTACTGGTCTGTCCGACTGTGGAGCGTCGTCCAGCGAGAACTCTCCAGCATGAAACTTTGCAAACCACTTTTGACATGATCAAGCAACTCTTTTTTTTTTTTTTGCGTTTCAGTTGTATTCTTACCTTTCTTGAATTAGTAAAGCATAACGTGCCAAAAATGTTGCTTATTTTCTTCCATCTTCAATATTAAAATGGCTGCATAAAAATTCACCAATTTTGGTGTTTTCTTAAATGCATGCTGACATGACAACTGTCACAATACAATCTGACAAAACTGTTTTGAATGAAGTTACAGACAACTAAGCGCTACTAGAGCCACCTTACAGAAAAAAACCAAATGAACTTCTTGGCCTACCCAATAAAAGCAAGTAGTGTCTTCTCATGGGAAGAAACAGAATAATTTGAAGATTTAGAAAGATCAGGAAAATATTAATGAGACCATGCATGGGATAAATGTACGTCAATTTAGTATTTCCTATGAAAACATAAATATTGTTTTCTTTGACTTATTTTTTACTTTTTCTTAAATTGATTTTATGTATTTTTTCCATTACCATTTAGTCTCCTTATATCCTCACCCCCATAATCACCACACTGTTGTCCATGTCTACGAGTCCTTTTTCCTTTTTGCTCGGTCCGTCCACCCCTAACCCGGCCCTCCAGCTATAACCCTGCTCTCAGTCCATGCGTCCGTCCCCATGTTCCTTGTTAGTTCAGTCTGTTCATTAGATCCCACATATGAGTGAGACCATATGGCACTTGTCTTTCTCTGACTGGCTTCCTGGAGAACAGTGTGCTAAGTTTTCTTTGATTTAAACTTAAAACAAAATTGATCTCTTTACCTTCCTTTTTGGTAAGAAAACAAGCAAACAACCACCCTTCACCAGAGCCATAAAAGGACGCTTTGATTTAATATTATGTTGTTAAAATGTAAAAATGATCCAAAGGTATACTATAAAGAATAAAATTTATTCATTTAAAGAATATATAGGTTCACATATGCTGCAACTTCTAATTATATGGTTTTTGGGACAATATAGCTACAAACAGCTAAATATAAAAGTTTAAAAATGTGTCCCTACAACACATGACAAATGCATATAGAAAAACTACAAAATAAACATAAAATTAAAAAAAAATCCACCTAATTTAAAAGACAGATAATAACAAGTGTGAGTGAGGATGTGGAGAAATTATAACCCTGTCATACAATCTGGTGGGAATGTAAACCAGTGCAGTTGCACTGGGAGTCTGACGAGTCCTCAAATTGTAAAATATACAGTTACTATATAGTCCACCAATTCCACTTCCAGGAATATATCCGGGAGGAAAGAAAACACATGCCTACACAAAAACTTGTACTCAAATGTTTTTAACAGCATTGTTCATCATAGCCCCAAAGTAGGAATAACTCAAGTGTCCACCAACTGATACAAAATGTGGCAATAAAAGGAAATGGAGTACTGACACGCACGAATCTGGACAGTATATGCTAAAAGACACCAGTCAGGAAAGGCAACATGTTATGGTTCACTTACGTGAAATATCCAGAATACGCAAATCTATACTGAGAGAAAGATTAGTGGTTGCCTAAGGTGGGAGGGGTGGGTGAAAAAGGGAAAATTAGAGGGTGATGATTAAGAGACGCATGGTTTCTTTTTGGGATAATGAAAATACTCTAAAACTTATTGTGGTAAAGGTTGCACAACACTGTGAATATACTAAAAACCGTTACTTGTACACTTTAAATTAAATGGGTAACTTGTATGGCATGTCAATTATATCTGAATAAAACCGTTAAAAAGAATTATGCAAATCTAAAAATATCCTAAACTTTATAAAGACTTAATTTTTAAACAAAACAGACAAATACTGTTCTATAACTGAGAGGTTCCCCAACCCCTGGACCCGTATTGGTCAGTGGCCTATTAGGAAACGGCCACACAGCAGGAGGTGAGCTTGAATATAATGCATTCTGAAACCATCCCCCAACACTCCATGGAAAAAGTGTCTTCCACAAAACTGGTTCCTGGTGCCAAAAAAATTGGGGGACCACTTGCATTTTTAGCTTATTATATTGTGACTATTTATGTGTTTTTTATTGCTATCGAGCATACCATTGTATGATAATAACATAATTCATTTAATGAATTTGTTATTGAATATCTTTTATTACAGGTTTACCTCAGAGATATTGCAGGTTCAGTTCCAGACTATCACAATAAAGCAAGTACTGCAATAGAGTGAGTTGTAATCTTGTTGATTATTTGTTATAGATTATTAATGTAATGCTTTAATAATACAGATTTATCAAATGTAAATATGAGATAACGCATTATGTGTGGACTCAATTTAGTCCCTTTAAGGTAAAACAAAATACTTGAGAGTTCCGGCCAAGATGGAGACGTAGGTAGAAACCCTTCGCTCCCTTGCACAACCAAAAGGAGGATACCAACCAATCTAAAATCAATAAACAACCAAAACCGCCAGAAAATCAAACTGCATGGAACTCCAACAACCAAGGAATTAAAGAAAAAAGCAACCAGAACTACCAGACAGGTAAGGCAGACGGCACTGGCTGACTCAGAAAAACCCTGGTGAGGCAGCTTGAGGGGAGGGGCTGACTGCCCAGCTTGGCAGAGCTGAATGGGCGGGGCTGACTTAAGGGGAAAACTGAGACTCAGAGCTCAGTGTGGGCTAGGCTGGGGTTGCCCTGTGGGAGATACTTCCAGTCTGACACGAGAGTCTGTTGGAAGGTGCGTAGAGACAATCAGGCAAGCTGCATTGTTCTCTCTCTGGCCCCTCCCCCATAGGCAGCGCAGCTAGGAGGGTTGCCCTGCCTGGGTGAATACCTAAGGCCCTGCCCCCTTACAACCTATCAACTGCGCCAAGACAGAGAAATAGGGCCCAAATGAAAGAACACAGCAAAACCTCAGAACTAAGCAATGAGGAGACTGCTAACCTATCTGATGGAGAATTTAAAGCCCTGGTAATCAAAGTGCTCATAGAACTGATTGAGCTTGGTTGAAAAATGAAAGATACCCAAAATGAAATAAAGCAAAATATTCAGGGAACCAGCAGTGACAAGAAGGAAACCAGGATTCAAAGCAATGATTTGGAACAAGAGGAAGAAACAAGCATCCAACTGGATCAGAATGAAGAAACAAGAATCCCCCTAAAATGAAGAAAGGCTGAGGACTCTCTGGGACAACCTGAAACATTCCAATATCTGAATTATAAGGGTGCCAGAAGGAGAAGAGCAACAGCGAAAAATTGAAAACTTGTATGAACAAATAATAAAGGAAAACTTCCCCAATCTGGTGAAGGAAATAGACTTCCAGGAAGCCCAGAGAGTCCCAAAGAAGTTGGATCCAAGGAGGAACACACCAAGGCACATCATCAAGTTACCCAAGATTAAAATGAAGGAGAGAATCCTAGAAGCAGCAAGAGATAAGGAGACAGTTACCTACAAAGGAGTTCCCATCAGACTGTCAGATTTTTCAAAAGAAACCTTGCAGGCAAGAAGGGGCTGGAAAGAAGTATTCCAAGTCATGAAAGGCAAGGACCTACATCCAAGATGACTCTATCCAGCAAAGCTTTCATTTAGAATGGAAGGGCAGATAAAGTGCTTCCCAGATAAGGTCAAGTTAAAGGAATTCATCATCACCAAGCTCTTATTATATGAAATGTTAAAGGGAAGAAAAAGAAGATAAAAAATATGAACAATAAAATGACAACAAACTCACAACTATTAACAAATGAATGTAAAAGAAAAGAAAACAATGAAAACAAAAACTAAGCAAACAACTAGAACAGGAACAGAATCAGAGAAATGGACGTCGCCCGGAGGGTATTCGGTGGGGAGGAGGAAGGGAGGAATAGGGGGGAAAAGGGACAGGGAAGAAGAAGCATAATTGATAGGCATAAAATAGATGGGGAAAGGTAAAAAATGGCATAGGAAACAGAGGACTCAAAGAACTTATATGTGCAACCCATGGACATGAACTAAGGGGGGGAGGGGAATGCTGGAGGGTTGTGGGGCGGGGGGGGGGATTAAGGGGGGAAAATTGGGACAACTGAAATAGCATAATCCATAAAAATACTTAAAAAAATAAAACAAAATGGATATAAGGGATATAATGGCTCATCTTTTCCACATGGTCAATGACCTGTCTGAAAATTTATTGATCCTTTCTTCTGCTTGACTTAGTCTACTGTCGAACAACCCTAGTGAAAGTTTCAGTTCAATTATTGTGTTTTTCAGCTCCTGTTTTGTTCAGTTCTTTTAAATATTTTCTGTCTGTTGAAATTCTCATTTTGTTGTCTTGACCTTGGTGAGAATCTTTATGAATTATTTTGAATTTTCTATCAGGTAAATTGTATAACTGTTTCATTATGATCAATTTCTGGAGATTTATCTTGC